TGTTTTCTACAGTACACCAAATTAACTTGTAATACAGTTAGTCTTTGATTTACAAACACTCTAGATTTAAATACTCTGCAGAATAGAAATTGCCTGGGAAATGAGTGATCCCTGTGTAGAGGAATGCTTTCTCTTATGTGATCAGATTTTCCAGCAAGCAGTATTAATTAATCTTATCTTTGACCTCAGATTCTGCTGTTGAATACCTCTCTGAAGTGCTGCTATGGGTGTCAGGGACGTCTCTTCTCTCACTGGCAAACAGGGAGGCACATGAATTTCTGAGATCACAATTTGGAACTCAGAATCTTAATACACCCTCAACTACCACCCCCCTTCCCCCCCTCCCCCATGTACCATATTTGTCCATGTATAAGACACACCCTTTTTTGAAAAATTTGGGGTCTAAAAACTGTGTGTCTTATACAGTGCTTGTATTAGCACAAAAACAATCGTGAAAAGAGCGGGAAATGCAAGTAAAAAAAAAACTACAACCACTGTATAAGACACACCCGGTTTTTAGACCCCAAATTTTTTGAAATAGGGTGCATCTTATACATGGGGAAATATTTCCCTGTATTTATAAATGGTAGGTAGATATAGTTGATGAATTACTATTTAAATGTGGGCTGGCCTGAGAGTAGAATTACCATTTTTAGCACTGTTTTCATGTAAAAGGAAAGTGCATTCCAGGTTCTGAATAGGTTTTGGAAGAACAGCCTGTTCATTCATGGTGACCTGCCTATTTTTATGTATGAGGACTTCATTGCTTGTCAGATGCTAAGTGTGAAATGTTTGGTACATTCACCAGCTTATAATCATCTGGGATTATATATTTGAGTTTAGGTTAAGCCATGTACTGTAGGTAGTTTTTTGTGTAATTGAGACTTGATAGCATTACTGATATTTTGTTAACAAATGATTAAAAATGGTGACATTTTTAATCTAAGTTGGTAGAGTAGAAAAATAACTACGGTTTTGGAGTCAGATTTGAGTTCAGATTCTAGCCCCACCATTTATTAACTGAATTTGTTTCCTCAACTATAAAATGGAGATGATAATTTCAGAGTGGTTATGAGATTTTACATGATTTAACAGCAGCCCATTTAAAGTGCTTAGTCAAGGTACTTGGTACACATTAAACACTGTAGCATACCATTAGATCCTTAATTCCTTGTAGTTAATTCTTTAGCAACTTGACATACATAAAAGTGAGAATTTTACTGAGCTACAGCGTAGAATTATGTTTTAAAAGGCATAGGAGTAAATAGGTGTGATAATATATTTTTATATCTCTTTGGTCATGTTAATTAAGGATGGCTTATTTTAATTTTTTACATTTTTATAATGCTCATAAAAAACATTTAACTACTTATATTAATGAAAGCTCAGTAAAAACAGTGAATGAAATAATGTGCTGTTTATTCTCAAATTATTTTATACAGCAATGTTTGCTTTGGCAAGAAGTCTTATTTTGTGGAGTTATTGGCTGAATTTTTATTTTATGTTATGAAATAGTAAACTTTTGAAATGCATATATACTTCTAAAATTCAAATATAGTTTATCAATGGCCAATACTGACCTATGAGGCGTCATGAAAGTGAAGTAGAAACCTTAGAATGTAAATGAATATGATAGTTGTTGTTTTATGAACCTGATGACATAAATATAAAAATGTACCTAATGTAATATGTTTATAGTCCAGCTTCAGGTTAATAAGCTAAGCACAATTAAACAAAAGAAAATAATGTTACTGGCCTTGAACATTGAAAATGGTTTGTGAGAATGGCTTGTCTCAGTTAACAAATGTTTCATTTCCATACTATTTGGCTAGGCCATAGTAAATATGAGACAACTAGAGAAAATTTGTTGATGGGCATTATATACTTAAAATATCTAGCTAGCTTTGTGGAAGGTAGAGTTAGGAGGTTATTCACTCTTCCCCGACTTTTCTCCTCTTATTTACCCTTGTCCTCACTTCTCATCCTGCTCTTGTCTTTTCCCTGTCATCCCCCCCCCCCTTCTCCCTTATTCTTTTCCCCATTTTCCTTTTCTCCAATTGTCTCTACTGAGATTTTTATTAAACCTATGAAACATTTCAAACATATTAAAAAGTACAGTAAACCATATAGCAGACATTATTCACTACTGAAATTAAGCAAATGTTCTTTTTAGCAGTATTTAGTTTAGCGCTTTTTTTTTTTTTAAGATTTTATTGGGGAATTGAGGAAGGGAACAGTGTTGGAGAATCGGGGAAGGGGAACATTGTGTTTTTCCAGGACCCACCAGCTCCAAGTCAAGTTGTTGTCCTTCAGTCTTAGTTGTGGAGGGCACAGCTCAGCTCCAAGTCCAGTTGCCACTTTCAATCTAGTTGTAGGGTATGGGGGAGCCCACCATCCCATGTGGGAATCGAACCTGCAACCTTGTTGCTAAGAGCTCGTGCTGTTAACCAATTGCGTCACCCGGCCAGTCCTCTTATTTTTTTCTAAAGGGCACGCAGAAGAGCAGGGATTCTCGACTTTTGTCATAAAGTTGTTTCTTTTGCCTGGCTTTATGGAATTTCACCCTGAGTGTATACAAATTAATATTAAGTCAAAGACTCAAGTGGACCCCATGTAGATGCCTGGAGCATTTTTGTGCATAACTTTCTTCTCTTTGGTACATTATCCAGTAATTCCTGCCACCTGTACCTTTCTGAACCCTGATCTTTGTCTTTTCAAGTTAGTGAGACTGCTGTGCTCTGCTTTGAATCTCCCTGCTTGCAGTGGTGTCTAGAACCTGTCTCTTGGCAGAAAGTCAAGATACGCATAGGACTTATCTATCTTGTTTTCTTTTCCCAAGGAACGCAGATCTACACCAATTGTTGTTCAGTGTCTAGAAACAGTTGTGCTATGTATTTTGTCTATAGTTTTGCGGTTGTATACTGTCTGAGGGTAAATCTGGTACCAGTTACTCCATAATGACTTGAAGCATAAATGTCATACTACTGGATCATCGTGGGAAGGAAGGAGGTTGGTAAAGACTTCTGGATGGCAGCTGGTGTGAGCTGCTGTGAGCCACTGTTAGCGGCCCTCCAATGGCCGGTGAGTGACTGCCACCTGGGGAGAGCGCAATGATCACAATATGGGCCAGTGAAGTGACGTCCTCCACAACTAGACTGAAGAACAAAAGGACAGCAACTTGTCTGTTCCCCTTCCCTGATCCCCCACACTGTTGTTCCCACCCCCAATTCCCCAATAAAATCTTAAAAAAAAAAAAAGACTTCTGGATGAAGTTACAGGAAGGAATCAAAATAAGCCTTGGCTGACTTTATATTTAATGGCCACTTAGGAATTGAATGGTAAAGGACCCTGGGAGTAGTTGACTTGGCAGTGATTTGTCTGTTTAACTAGATCTATCAGATGAGATAATGTAAATAGTAAACTACTATACAAATTTGCTTATTCTGATTTAGAGTAATTTATTGAATGTTCTTATAGACTGTCCTGTCTTATTGATTTTTGGCCTTTGGAATTAAAATGAAAATAGATGGATTGTGGTGCAGGAGTTGGAGTTGGTGATGATGCTTATATATTATTTCTAATCAGCAAAAATTGGTTACTAGGCTTTGATGTCATTGGAGAAAGACGACTTCTCACAATTAATAATCTCATTCTGGGAATAATCTCATATTTTAAGAACAGTAAAGTAACTGGCAGAAAGACATTTCCATAGAATGTGTTGTGTCTCTATATCATTCTTGGGTTTTGTATTCAGTGACTTGCGTATACATACTCAGTGAACGTTTGATGTGTGACTTGCACATACTTAGTGAACACTGATGTGTGAATCTTTATTAAGACCATTTCACTTGTCAGTCAATCATAATGATTACTTTCTGTGTGTCAAAAATGGTCTCAGATGATGGAGAGGCAGCAACAAAAGGAGATAGGATCCCTAATCAGAAGACTAAATGAGATAGCACACATATAAGGCAGTAAAGGATTCTAGCAAGGATTAATGGAGTACAGAATGATTATATCAGCTCCTAGGGAGGAATGGAGGGGCTGGATTTTGAGAAAGTTGACAGATATGCATTGATTGACAAAGAGGATAAGGGAGAGAAAAGTCCCTGTGCTAAAAAGAAGGGATAGTGTGTTGTAGAGTGACAGCTGAGAATGACAGAATTGTTCTGTGGAAAGCAAATTAAATTGACTTGAATGGAAGTTTGTGGAGAAGATAGTCAGAAGTTAGGTGGTACAGCTAATTGGGGTGAGGGAGATAGGGAAGATTTTGAGTGTTAATGTAAAAAGAGAGACATTTCAAATTGCCCTATAGGTTAACGAGTAGACAAAATTAAAGAATTTTGTGTTCACAAAGCAATTTTATAGGTGCTGACTTATTTTAAGATGAACTCTGAAGCAAATTAAGGCAGTTACTGTATTTGAATATTACTGTATTTGAGTGTAATCTGCAAAATGAAAACCCATTCCTTATTGAGATTTGAAAAGCACTGTTTGTATAAGTGAATTTACAAACATTTTACATGTCATTACTGGCTACATAAGGGATTTTTTTTTAAAGGTTTTTATTGGGGAAGGGGAACAGCCAAGTTGTCCTTCAACCTTAGTTGTGGAGGGCGCAGCTAGCTTAGCTCCACGTCCAGTCACTATCCGACTGCCCCACGGCAGCTCCGGCTGCTCAACTCAAGGTGCTGTGTTCAATCTTAGTTGCGGGTGGGCGTAGCCCACCATCCCACGCAGTAGTCAAACTGGCAAGCTTGTTGTTAGGAGCATGTGCTCTCACCAGCTGAGCCATCCTGCCACCTGTTGGCAGCTCAGTGGCAGCTCAGGCGCAGCTCATTGGCCCATGTGGGAATTGAACCGGCGACCCTGTTGCTTAGAGCTCGTGCTCTTAAGCAACTGAGCTACTTGGCTGGCCCAAAAGGGATTTTTTAAAAGTATAATAATACTAACTGAAATTTGAGTAGGGCTGAATTTCATCTATCTTTCTTTTATTTCAGGTTGCTGCTTTGCTAAGAGAGTACCCATGACTCTGATGATGTTTTCATTCAAGATAAAGTGCCCTATTGACTTTATTCATTAACTGAACAAATTCAGGTTAGTACATTTTGTGGGCAGCACTTACCTGTTCCAATTATATGTTAATATTTTGAGAAATGAATAATTTTGTGTTTGAAGCTACATATGTATATATTAGTGAAGTAGAAAGGCCAAGTCATTCTAAACTATTAAATTGTGTATTAGTTAACATTTTCTGATTACCTACTATGTACAACATGCAATGCATAAGATGAAAAGTGTTTTACTTCCTGTTTAATAGTTTTGTATCTTACAGTAAAGGGCTGGGTAAAACAAATTGTGGCTGAATATGGTACTTTTGGCATCGTTGTGTGGTATATCCGGTGCTGAAAATATCTTGAAATTTTTTACAGTAGCTGACTTTCTAAGGTTTCATTCTTGTCCAGATTTCAGTTATACATTAAAATTTTTATTTATTTGTTTTTAGTGTTCAGTCTGTGAGTTTTGATAAATGTATATTCATCACCATAATCTTCTAAATTCACTGATGTTGCCTCTTTATAGTCAACCCCTGCCTCCACTCAATGCCTAGCAATCACTGATGTGTTTTTTTGTCCCTATAGTTTACCTTTTCCAATGTCCTTTAAATGGAATCATTTAGTATGTAGCTTTAAAAATCTGGCTTCTTTCACTTGGAATCATGCATTTGGATTCATCCATGTTTTGCATGACAGGAATCCTTTTTTTTTTTTTTTAATTGCTCAGTAGTGTTTTGTAGGATATACTCCAGTTGGTTGATCCATTCATCAGATGATGGGCATTGGGGAGTTTCTAGTTTTTTGTGATTATTGCAGTCATACTTATTTTTCTTTTTATTGTGATAAAATACATATAACATAAAATTTACCATTTAAGGTTCTGATTTCTCATCTGTAGAACGAACATAGGGATATTTATCCTGAGGGCTGTAATGAGGATTAAATAGAGTAAATTACATAAAAGTAGCATTGGAGTTAGGCATTTAATAAATGTTCGTCTTTGTTTTTATCATTTTTTTAAATGACCAGTGGAAACTTTACTTTCCTATTGCCTAGTTCCCTAGTGAGTCTATATGGACACAGAAGTAGGGCCCAAAGTTACTTGGATCCCATCAAGAAAATAAAAATGAAGCAAATTCCTGCTGTGTTGACCTCCTGGAACTTTTCATAGTTTGAAAGAAAATTAACCAGGCCATTGTAAGCATAAGACTATTAGAAAATGCTGGGAATAAAAAGGTTCTGAAGGAGAGTTTTAACTTGGGGGAGGATGGTAGAATTTTTATAGGTCTGTAGCAGGACAGGTCAGGCATAGTTCAGCTAGTTTGGGGAATAGTTGCTCAATGATGGTTGCCAGAGAATTGGTCTTACAGATTAGCAGCCATTGGGCAATTTGGATTTTATCAAGAGGGTTGGGGAAAAGCAGCTTTGGGGAGCAAGAACATGAGAAGTCCAACATAAAATTCTCAGGTATTTAGTATCTTCACAGTAGATTTTTCTATCATTGGCTCTTGCAGTCTTCTCCCAACCACCTCCCCAACCTTCCCCCAAGTAGAAAGGCCCTTTATCCTGGTCATGATTTTAGAATGCTTCTAGCTCTTGATCTCAGAAGGCAATATCTTTGTGAAACTTCAAAGAGCAAGGAAATACATATTTTGTAGTGCTGGAAAGTTCTCTCAGTTTTTGCTCCCTGCCTTTTGTGCGTTGTGGTTTGGGTCCTGTTATATAGGTGCTCTGCAGTAGAGGAAACAGTAATGTATGATAATGAAAAGCTTCAAAGGAGACATATGGCTGGAAGGGAGATTCGAGTAGGATTTTGCAGCAGCTATTTTAGTTGATGACACGTCTTCAACTTAAATTGCAATTGACTTTTTAAATTTTGCCTTATCCTTCTGTGGTGATTATAGAAGTCAAATGAGATCATTTTTGATAGCTGGTTTGCAAGCTTTTGTATGTGCAGCCAACCTTTCAAAGTCTACCTGTGCTTTTCAGAGAGTTCAGTTTGTGACTGAATGGATCAGCTTAGCTATTCTCTTGTATCTTTTTAATGAATTACTGGTTTTTATCAGCTGATGCTTAACACCCTTTATTCTTGAGTTTGGTGATTTCTTTGCCTTGATGAGGTACTTTTTGATTACTGGTGGATCCAATCTTTTGTAAATAAAATCTATGCTTTGAAATTAAATGATCCTTGTCCTCTTTGAATATATAAATCCTCTTATTATCTGCTAGTTTATCTCTTGCTTTGTGATTCCCCCTGTTACTCTTATAATGCTTGCTTAGCTTTTAATTTAAATACAGTTAGCATACATGGAAGACATTGGCCTATGCAGACATTAGGAAAATATGAATATTTGGCGACCATATTTAGGATTATTGGGGCATTTCGTCCCAACTTTTCAGAATATAGAAAAAGAGGTGAGTTTCTTATTCTATCCTAATCAAGCTCACCATAGGCCTTGTACTTTTCAAATCAGCTTGAATGGAAAAAGATACATAAAGAATAGTATATCTGCTATTTCTACTTGTATATACTTATCATAACTGTGGAAAATATATTTGATTTACTGTGAGGCTCTCAGGGTAAATGGGTCAGATGTAATCAATATTTTAGTATTGTTATGTATAATTAAGTACTTTTCTATAAACTATGAGAAAGTTATGTTTTTCTGTTCTGCAGATTATCACAAAAATTTCAATAACAAAGCTTTCTCTTTTTGATATTCAGAGGAAATTAAAGAACAGATTTACCTACAACTAAAGAGTAAGTCACTGGTGAGATCCTATTCTTTGTAATATGAGTGTATTACTTTGCTCCTTAAACCTTGTTCACCTCCACTTGTAGCATTTGTTAATATGAAGCGCATGTTACTATCGTAGCTTTCTTTAATTTTCTGGGAAGTATCTTTTTTAGTCTCAATATCTATAAATCTTGGGAACTGTGAAAGGCTTCTTTATCCTTTTTTATATCTTTTCAAGAAAGTAGTGTCTTTATGTACTCTTGATGTTTTTGTAGAAATCCCTGCTACCCACAGATATAAAAACATGTAGTGTAAAATCTCAGCTGTTTAGGACATTTTTAAAAATTAACAAATCAATTTTTTAAAAAGTTCCTTTGATAAGTGATTTTTTTACCCCTTTTTCAGCTTTATTGATGTATAATTTACAAATAAAATTGTAAGATCATTAAAGTGTACATTGTGGTGACTTGATATATGTATACATTGTGAAAGGACTCCTACCATCTAGATAATTAACATTATTCATCACCTTACCTATTTATCTTTTTGTGTGTGTGTGAGAACATTTAAGTTCTAAGCAAATCTTAAATACATATACAGTGTTATCAGCTATAGTACCCATGTTTCGCATTAGATCCTCAGATTTTATTCACGTTAAGCTGAGAATGTTGTTCCCTTTAACCAACCTTTTCCTGTGTCCCCCACCACCTACTCCCTGGCCACCACTTTTCTACTTTCTATGGATTTGACTTTTTTTTTTTTTTTAGATTCTACATATAAGTAATATTATGTAGTATTTGTCTTTCTCTGTCTGGCTTATTTCACTTAGTATAATGCCCTCAAGTTCCATCCATGTTGTTGCAAATGGCAGGAGTTTCATCTTTCTTATGTCTGAACAATAGTCCATTCTCTCTTTCATCATATTTTCTTTATTCATCTGTTGATGGACACTTAGATTGTTTCCATATCTTGGCTATTGTGAATAATGCTGCAGTGAACATAGAAGTGTAGATTTCTCTTTTTGATATTTTGTTTTTAGTGTACATAAATACAACTGATGTTTTGTATATTGATTTTTTTTGTATCATGTAACTTCAGTGAATTTGTTGATTAGTTCTAACAGTTTTTTTGTGGAGTCTTTAGGATTTTCTACATCTATTATGTCATCTGCAAATAGATTTTTTTTTCTTTTCTGATTTTTATACCTTTTATTTCTTTTTTCTTGCCTAATTGCCCTGGCTAGGACTTGCAATGCTGTGTTGAAAAGAAGTGGTGAGAGTGGACATCCTTGTCTTCTTATTCCTGACCTTAGAGGAAAAGCTTACAGCTTTCCCCTGCTGAGTATGATGTTAGCCGTGGCTTGTCATATATGCTCTTTATTATGTTGAGGTACATTCCCTTTATACACACTCTGTTGCGAGTTTTTCTTTTATCATGAACGTATATTGAATTTTGTCAAATGGTTTCTGCATCTTTTGAGATGATCATATGATTTTTATCCTTTATTTTGTATGTGGTGTAACACATTGATTTACATATGTTGAACCATCCTTGCATCCCTAGAATAAACCCCACTTGGTTATGGTGGGATTTGTATTGTTGAATAATATTTGCTAATATTTTGTTGAGGATTTTTGCATCTATGTTCCTTGGGGATATTGACCTTTAATTTTCTTTCCTTTTAGTTTCCTGATTTGGTTTTGGTAGCAGGGTAATGCTGGCTTCATAAAATGAATTTGAAAGTGTTCCAGCTTTTTCCATTTTTTGAAAGAGCTTGAGAAGGATTAGTATCAGTTCTTTAAATGTTTGGTAGAATCCACGGGTGAAGCTGTCTGGTCCTAGACTTTTCTTTGTTAGCAGGTTTTGATTACTAATTTAATCTCCTTACTAGTAATCAATCTGTTCAGATTTTTTTATTTCTTCATGATTTAGTCTTGGTAGGTTGTATTTATTTATTTATTTTTAGGGATTTGTCCATTTCTTCTAGGTTGTTCAATTTTGTTGGTGTACAATTGTTCATAGTAGTGTCTTAGGATACTTTGTATTTGTGTGGTATCAGTTGTAGTGTCTTCTTTTTCGTTTTTATTTTTGAGTCCTCTTTTTTTTTTTTTTGGTTAATTAGCTAAAAGTGTGTTTGTTTTGCTTATCTTTTCAAAAAACCAGCTTTTAGCTTCAGTTAGTTTTTCTATTGTCTTTTTATTTTCTAGTTTATTTCCACTCTGATCTTTGGGCTTTTTATTGTTGTTGTTATTGTTGTTGGTTTTTTCTTCTAACTTTGGGCTTTGTTTGTTCTTTTTATATT